TCGCTCTGGGAATCATTAGCCGATCCCTTACTTTCGGGGTTCTAGACACACACAGACACTTGCTTACACTCACCTCGTCGTGATTTCAAAGAGGGGGGCACGGAAGAAAAAACAGAAAAGGGGGAAGGCTAAATTAAATTAATCCACGGACGCGAAATTAGTCGACTTTTTTTATATATATAATTTTTTTTATATATTTATTTTTTTTCCGTTCTTCCATTCTCTGCTTCCATTGCCCCCCCCCGTTTCGTCACTGTTAGCAAAGCCCGCAGATTTTTAACTGGAACGGAAAAAGGAGCGGAGTGGGGGGGTTGGAAAGATTTTTCACTTGCTTTTAATTATCGGTCTTTCCGACGGTTCTCGTTTGTTCTTTTCGCCAGCTGTTTTTGACACCCCCCCTCTTTCCATCTCTACATGCTCGCCCAAGACAATGAGAGAGACAAGGGCGTTTAATTTCGCTTCGTCCAACCGCTGAAAGGGCTGTTTTCCACAGCACTTGTTAATTTAAGTGGAGAAAGACGAAACAAAAGGACGAGGAAAGTGGTCCACAAAATACTATTGATTTAGTCGCTTGCCAGGATTCATCCAGTTGGAAACTAGTTCGAATATCCAAAATGTCTTAACTATCGTCCCCTAAAAGGGGGAGGCAAGCGTGTTTTTTTTTCTCCTAGACTACCGATCTCGCTAGACTAGGATCCATTAGATGTAGCTAGAAGGATATCTTTCTTGTCACTCCCCACCGAGATTTGCCAGTCTGAGAAATGGTTCTTGGTCGTAAGGGTTAAATTCATTTATCTGACCTAACGTGGGGTAGTGGCAAAGGTCATACTTCTTGACAGTCTAATCAGATGTTGACCCGAGGAGCTTTCACTCGCTTCTTCTTTTTCTATTCGCTTTATAATTGGATAAACAAATAAGTAAATGCGTTAAATTTGGTTCCGAAATTGAAATTTAGGAACCTAATTTTTCAATAATTTAATAATTTAATTAATATTTTAATAAATTAATTAAAAAAATGACTCTTTTAAAGCGTATGTCGCGCTTTATTTTTTATAAAAAAATTATTATTTATAAAAGTAATTTCCGGAAAAAGATGGTTTCCATAAACATTTAGAGTTTTTAAAACAGAAATTAATGAGTTTATTTATAAATCAATCTGTGTTTTCCACTAAATATTGCTAGAAATAAGTAAAGAAAGTTTTGTATGAAAGTTGAGATTTTCCTAAATGATTAAAATATATATAAACTTTTGTAGAAGATATTTTTATCAAGACGTTTACAGAATTTTAGAAAAATCATTGAGTGAGTTGCTAAGACGAAGAAATGATGAGAAAAGTGCTGACACCAAGTTTTCTCTCGTGTATCTTAATCAATAGAAGCTAGTTTCAAACGAGCAAAGATCAATGCTTTAAACCAAAAGTTTTGTGTATAAAAATCATACACTCGAAAAAGTAAACTTTTAAACTTATATAATAAAATAAAATAACAATAATTTTTTTAAAAAAAACTCGAAAACTTTTCCAACAGAACGAATTATTTATACCGTTATTAATGAGTTTAATAATAAACCAAGTGAATATTTTTTTACTTTAATCTTATAGTTTAATGAATTATAGTTGTAGCCAACTCAAAATGTAGACAACGTTAGCACGACTGTTAGAATTTTACTCACTTTACATCATTTTTAATAAAAATAACCAAAAGAAATTATAAAAAAAAAAAGAAAAACTCTTTGATGTTAGCCTGATATAGCGGCGGTTTCTTGTATAAATAATTAGGTTAAGTAAAATTAATGACGATCATGCAGATTCTTACCTTTTTACATCGACTCCCCCCCACCGGCTGAACTGTCAATTATCTTCCTCTTTTAGAGGAACACCGAAAAACACCCCCTACCACCACGCACCGCACCTCAGGGTTTAATTTGTAACGAAAGCTTTTATTCTTTGAATTTTTTTTTCTTTACTTGTTTCCTAATTCAACCTTCTTTCTACTAAAGTATTACTAATTATATTGTCCTTTTCCTGACTGTTCTATGTATAAGTGTAGAAGAAAAACACCAGCAGCAGCAGCAGCAGTAGTTGTTGTTCTAGAAGCAGTATCATCATCTTTCGAAATTATGCATCTTGATCATTTTTAATGCAGTAAACAAAACCTGAATTTTTGATCCTTAATCGTACTCGTTGGTAATTTCTTACAATAATATGAGAAGATGTTCTTCATCTAATTTAAATTTTCACTATGATAATCTAATTTATTCTAATGTTCGCTCTTACGGATGGGTAAATTATGTCGAAAGATAATGTGTCTGTGTATATATAGAATACTTAACAACAAAATGTCAGAATTTAAATAAAAATATTTTAAATATTTATATACACATATTAATAAAGACAATGATAATTTATAACCTCAAAATACATTCGAAAGATAAATTTACGACTTTAATTTAATTTAAGTAAACGTCACGTGACTGACTAACCGTTGAGGTATTTTTAAACCGCCAAAATTACGTCATGTCTGTCGCCGTTTGTGATTGATCAAAATCAGATGTCTCGTTTCAAACAAACCATTTACAGATAGGAAGATGGACCGAAAATGGCGTCGCGCAAACGGGATAATAATAATAATTATTATTATTAATTCTGTGCGTTAATAATAGGATTATTTATATTTTAATTTCGATTTTATAAGCCATATTTTACTTTAAAAAAAAAAAACATTATTTTCTCTGCATAGGTTATTAGTAACAGGGGTATTGGTAATATTTCAGATATTTTCAGCCTTATTCTATTATACCCATGTCATGACGTCATAAAGAGTAACCCCCGTTCGGTGGTCAGATAGACAGACGAGGGGGAGGGTAAAGCTAATATACCATCATATAGTGGATATCATATTTCTTAACTGGAACGTTTAAGCGACACCAAAAATGGTGACTCATTCGATTCTCGGCTTCCATCCATTTTAACTCCTCTTTTCCAAGAGCGAAAATCCCTTTGGGAATAGGACAGACGACTAATGCGAAATAACGAACAAAGAATAATTGTAAAGTATTCTGATTTATAAGTTTGGTAAACGTCATACTTCCTTTTTTTTTTGTTGTTGTTATTATTTTTTAAAATCTTCCTCATTTTCTATGGGATTTCTATTGAATTGTTTGATTCATTATTATTATTTTTTTTATTGNGGAGAGATACGTCGATTTAGTCATTGGCATATTTGTAACAGCATTTGTTAATTATGTTAAAGGTAAGGAATGGAAATGCCTATCTTACACATCAACAACTTTTTAAATTTCTCAACTTAGTTATTATTCTATTTGTTACACAAACGGGTTTTGTAGTTCGTTATAAAATATAAGAATAAATTCGAAAGTTTTGATATTATCTCGATAAACAGTCGTTGATCTATTGCATAAAATTATAAATAAAACGCTCGTTCTTTTATCCACTATAAAATATTCATAAGTAAGAAATATTTATTGTTAATTAATTGTAAAAAATAAAATGTTAATTTATTATTTTTTATTATAGAAAAATAGAGAATAAAATGTTCGTCTTTTATATAAAATATAAATTGTTCTATCATTAATTTGCTATAAGGGACTGTCTGTCCATAAATTACGTCGGCATTTTCCTTGAAATATTTACTCCTTCTCCCCCATTGTCCTATTGATAATTTGTCCAAGTTTCCGTAACCTCTCTTCGGACGTCCAACAAAACTCAATCCCCCTTAAAACCTTTATCACTTTATAAATAATAAAATGTATAAACTGTGTGAAATTCGATGAAATAAAACGGACGTCCATTAAACTTAAACCCCTCCCTCCCTTCCAGTATGGACGTCATTTATGGACAGCCCGTAAAAAAATGCGCATTGTCGTTAAGAAAACTAGAAATAAGCTCATTCATTCGTAACTTTATGTATATAAATAGATCATTCGTTAATACCTAGCAGCAAAAGTAAGTTTTGTTGAATCTCAGATCGAGAGAATCGATAAAAGTTTGAAGTATTTTGCTATAAAAAAATCCAAAAAAAAAATGAATTGATGTATTAGATAAATTAATATCGAAGGGTGAGAAATTGATAAGAAGATCAAATATAAAATTTCTTTTTTTAATGGAAATCCAAGTTGGTGATATTCACTAAACTCAAATTTATGTGACACAATAAAAATGACATATTTCAAAATTTCAAAAAAAACCTATTCAAAATTTAAATTATTAAATAAATTTACATAAAGTAAAGATGAAAATTTGTTTAAAAAATTTCTTACTCTACAGTTGTGGAGAATTTTCTTGTATATTTCTATATGCAACAGTTCATTTTTATGTACTGTACGAGAAGGAAATAAATATTATTTATAAAAATGGTGTATAAAAATAAAAATAATAGTTGTTTGTGATAAGAAACAATATCGTAAAATTAAAGAAGGAAAAGCAATTAAGAGAAAAGCATTTTGTAATTTAGCATTTGCAATAAATGCAATCATCTATATGGATTTAAGGCCTTTTGTTTTCTAATATGGAACGAGTGAATGTGGTAGATAGATCTCTTTTTAACGTACATTCGCGCCGTTTAACGTTATAAATTATTGTGTACACACGTACAACGTAATCTATAAGCATCTAACACGACATTCAAAGCAAACCATTAATATGTATTGTCGCCGACTGTTGGCTCCTTTTGATGTGCATCCTGGGGACTTCAGCCTACACGAGTGGAACAATCAGCGTTATAATATTGGCCACAAAACGAATATATTTATGACAAACAGATAAACATGTTGCCCAGACACGCTACTTGTTACACGAAACAGCGAGTTGAATGGGGGTGAAGTCTTAATGAGGAAAATTTGTTAGCAAACAGTGTTTCTATTATAACCCCAATCGATATAAAGCACACCATTTCTTTATTTTAAGGTATTTAAATATATATGCATATATTTATAATTTTTTAATATTCTAGAAGGACTCCTGTACTCGACGAGCACCTACCTTGATGACGTCATGAGGTCAGTAGGATGCGATTGCCTCTCTTTGATAACCGTCGTGTCGGAAGTGCGAGATGGGAGTCCGTGTTGCGAATGGGTGTGACTAGTGGCTGTGAGGGGTAGAGATACTGTGGCTGGTATCATAGAGTTGTGATGTGCCGCAGCATGGTTGAGAGCCATGAAAGGTAGTGGATTGATGTGAGGTGGGGCAGCTGTTGCGGCTGCCACGGCTGCTGCTGCTTGGGCTGCTGCATGATGACTATACCCGTTGGGAAGTATGTGCGTTTTGTCCAACCTTTCAGCTGTAAAATAAACAAATAAACAAATAAGAAATTGCACGGAATCAAATTTCGCGCGTTAAATCGATACTTTTATATATACACAAACCGTAAATTAAAAAACGAGATGGATAAAAAAATGAAGAAAATAAGTTTTATTATCGGCCATTGCCACAAGCTGTTGACGGAATTAAGACAGCAACTCATTTCACTCCATTAATTGCCGTTTAAAGCGGACAAATTAGGAGAAAGAGAAATTAAAAGTGTCTTTTTGCCCGGGCATTAAACACTAAGTTGAACTGTGCCCGCTGACGCTATTCCATTAAAACATCCCTAGGGAAGGCGGGGTAGTTTTCACAGAAACCTTTACCAATCAACCCAACCGGCTAAAACAAAATTTTCTGCATGTTTTTTTAATTACGTTTGCTGCCGTTTTCCGACTGCGACATATTTTAGCCACTCGGCACAAACCTTTTAATGTCGGGATAACTGTTTCCGCTAACTGGCACAAGAGGGCGGGAGAGAAAGCGTCAGGGCTCTTATATCTGGTCTCCCCCTCCCTACCGAAACTTTTAAATATTAAAATGAATGCCATGTATTTAAATAACAATGTTACACCGGAATACTTTATCATTAATTCATCCGAACGCTATGAAAATTAAAATTATATAAAAATAAAAGCGTTTCGTGGATTGTTTTCTTCTTATAAGTTTAAAGAGAATGAGTGTGAGATAGACAGAGAAGAGGTAACGCGCTTATTTAATAGCTCTATTTATTTTCTCATCCGACTAGTGTCTGTGGCATCCAGTTAACAAGTTATTGATTTCCGTTGTACAATTGTGAATAGACGTTGAGTTTATGGACGTTAGACAATATAAATAGTCGCGGCGTTACGTGAGAAAAGTGTCACGGTTGTGGTGAAAAATTAGTGCTGAAAAATCTCACCGCTCGATTTGATACAATGACTTAATATCAACCATAACCCGGGGCTAAGTTACGATTGAAAGAGGACTACTTGGCGTACCGACTATTTGTTAAGCTAACAATCGCACCGATGCACGCACCACACATCTCCGGTTGCTGGATTTAAATTTCACTTTCTCAAGGACTAAAAACGTCAGCCAAAAGGAACAGAAGAAAAAAACAGGTTACGGTTCTTTGGGGTTTCTAATCTTCTATTCGAAATGGAGGTGAGGTGAGTAATCCTGGATTTCCTTTAACGCCATCTGGTGCGAGAAATAAAAACTCACTTATAACACCAATAAATCCTTCCATTGGATTCCGTTTGTTCTGCAGGAAAGTCTTTTCTTCCGCATCCAGTGGGAATAATGTAAACAACGAGAGCATTTTCACCAATTGTCCTCGTTTAAGATCCCCTCCATTTATCATCCCAACAACATCCCCGCTCTTTCCACAAAGATGTTTATTATCTTCCCCTTTCTACCGCCGACGACATGAATTGCACAAAACTGTTTTTATCCCTACCGGCGTAGCAAATGATATAGAAAATAATACTTTACGCACTCGAAAGCAGCAGCGACTTCTCTTGTTTATCCAAAAAAAACTTTGAACGCTTTAATAATTCAATGTACTATAAATATACAATTTCCTTTTATCACTTTGAAATTAAAATCTTGAATGACTTGATTTAAGGTATGAAATACCCGAAAGATAGTTTAAGCAGATTGCACCTGATATAAGTACTTGTGTGCCTATTATGCTACAAAAATACAAGTTTTATCCACGAGATTTTGAAGGAAATCGTGTAGAGTTGAATGATGAGGGAAAGACACAAAAGTAACCAAGAAGCTGAGAATAGTAGCAAAACTCTTTACGTCATTATAGCCGCAGAAACAGGCTAAGTAAATGTTCTATTTGGCGTTATCGTGTCAGAAGCACGAAAGTTTGAGACTCCAGTTACACTCAAACCATTCGTCTCTGTCAAAATGATATCACTGCTTCCAGGCCTGACAACAAATAGGTCGTTTTAACAATATCGCATGGCCCCTACACACAAATACACACCCAACGGCCACAAAAAAGATAACTACCTCGTTCAGATACCATATTATTTTTTCTCTTTTTCCTCCCCTTCTCTTTCACTTTAGCTCAAAATATGGCCAATTTTATCAGACCCACGTTCTTTTTTTTTTTTATTATTATAATTGTAAATATAGTAATAAATTTCTAATGGACAAATGGTTAAACCAGTTTTTAGTTTAAGTAACGACACTCGCTCTATAACGAAAAGATGAAGATAAAAACTTGTCTACAACGGCACAGACAATGGAGTATAGAAAAGGGCAAGATAGACGAGTTGATGGCGTTAAAGGGGTGGACGGCAGTAATACACATCTGTCGTGACGCAATACCTTGTTAGGAGGGTTGTTTAACGTTTTTAGGAGTAATTTCTGTATTAATCGGCAGCCTAACGTGCTTATTTTATATGTCCCACTTTGATGAGTATCGATGTTTCTGCGTCAGGTTTCTCTCTTAAAGTTTGGCATTCGGGAAAAGTGTTTCGAAACTTTAATTAGATAAGATAAATAGCTACTAAATCCATAAATAGCATTGTCACATAAAAATGTAAGATATTTTTCGAATACGTTTGAAGTTAAGCAGGAGTAAGAAGATTGTTGTTACAACACACCACGTTGCTCTCTCTAATCATGGCAATATGGCCCATTAAACAAACGAAACTAAATAAACTAAAAAAAAAAGAGTGGAAGATAATAAACAAAACCTCATAATAAAGAATGAAAAAAAAAAAAAAAAAAGAGTGGAAGATAATAAACAAAACCTCATAATAAAGAATACAGAAATAGAAAGTTATTCCTAATTTTGACCCGTAGGTAACTTTATTTCATCACTCGTCCTTTTCGATAAGCAGCGGAGGATATTAATATTTTAAATATTTATATACACATATTAATAAAGACAATGATAATTTATAACCTCAAAATACATTCGAAAGATAAATTTACGACTTTAATTTAATTTAAGTAAACGTCACGTGACTGACTAACCGTTGAGGTATTTTTAAACCGCCAAAATTACGTCATGTCTGTCGCCGTTTGTGATTGATCAAAATCAGATGTCTCGTTTCAAACAAACCATTTACAGATAGGAAGATGGACCGAAAATGGCGTGGCGCAAACGGGATAATAATAATAATTATTATTATTAATTCTGTGCGTTAATAATAGGATTATTTATATTTTAATTTCGATTTTATAAGCCATATTTTACTTTAAAAAAAAAACATTATTTTCTCTGCATAGGTTATTAGTAACAGGGGTATTGGTAATATTTCAGATATTTTCAGCCTTATTCTATTATACCCATGTCATGACGTCATAAAGAGTAACCCCCGTTCGGTGGTCAGATAGACAGACGAGGGGGAGGGTAAAGCTAATATACCATCATATAGTGGATATCATATTTCTTAACTGGAACGTTTAAGCGACACCAAAAATGGTGACTCATTCGATTCTCGGCTTCCATCCATTTTAACTCCTCTTTTCCAAGAGCGAAAATCCCTTTGGGAATAGGACAGACGACTAATGCGAAATAACGAACAAAGAATAATTGTAAAGTATTCTGATTTATAAGTTTGGTAAACGTCATACTTCCTTTTTTTTTTGTTGTTGTTATTATTTTTTAAAATCTTCCTCATTTTCTATGGGATTTCTATTGAATTGTTTGATTCATTATTATTATTTTTTTTATTGGTTTTTTCGATTTATTATGAAGCCGAATCGCTTTAAATATATTTCTAATGTGTGCCTTTTTTTTGAAAAAAATGAACCTTTTTATTATTGTAATAAAGCACTTTCGAAAAATAAGCGTTGTCGCTTGTAATTGTCGCTAGTTTTTCTTAATTAGCTGATCTTTTTGTTTCAAAAACGCTTTTTTCTTTTATTAATGTTTAAAACATTACTTTTTCAAAAATCCTTCTCCGTTTTTCACAAAAAATTATCTGCAAAGAATCAATTGTTTCATAATTGAGCCTTACTTAAAATTAATATTTTATTTATATAAAAATCCTTTTGTTAAATAAAATAAAAGTTCAAATTTGTTTGAAAAAGAGCGTTTTATAATAATAATAAATAAAAAATATGAAGTTTTTAGTTGTTCATTTATAAAGGCTTATTTAAAAAGGTTATGAAGGTTCATTTAATAAGGTAAAAATAATTCTTGCTTAATTGTAAACAAATACTATTTTTCATAATAAAATGCGTTTTTATTGTATTAAAAAATAAGTCTTATTAATATAATTAAATTTCTTCGAAAATGTTAATAATATAATTTAATTGTTAATATATTTACGTTTTTATATAAAAATATGAAATTTTTTAACTTTAAATTTATTCTAACAACAGTTAATTTAAATTGTGATGAAATCAAATAATGGCACAAAACGGTCGAGTTAACAAAAAGAAGGAAAAAAATTGAAATTTTTTTGAAGAAGATAACGAGGAAGTACGAGTGATAGCGCGTTTATGAAAGTGATGCTTCCTTCCAGAGCTTTCAGAGGATTCGGAGGTGTGTCCTTTGAACATTGGCAATTTACGAGCACCTCCGACGTGAGACTTTAAAAGTCTACACAAAAACGGATCAAACACGAATTTGTCACGTTAAAACATGGCCTTTTTACCATCGATTGGCCTAATAATTCGACACATGGTAGACTTGAACGGTGCTCAACGAAAGCCTTTTCTTAGAGCCTTTTATTTTGCATCGATGGCTTCCTATTGTAGTAACAGATCCCCATATACCAACGTGTCTAGACAAATTGACAATGTCAATCAAACGAGAAAACTCGACATTGCCAACCAAAAGGATCTTTTATCTTTTTTTTTTTTTTTAAGCAATAGCCAAGCGACGTATATAAGTGGCCACAATAGGAAAAGATGCAGAGTCATACCGATATCCCTGTGTAAGGTTGGAGACCACAATGTCCCGTCAAGCTACCTATAACATGCCTTACGGGCATACATCTCCCTTCTTCATTGACGTACTGT